CCTTGTATGTACAAGAAAACTATTCAGCGAGCGGCAGTGAATGGAGGCTGACAGTCCGCCAGCAGCAGTTATGGGTAAAGCTTCTCTGCTTGTTTATTTGGGCTTTTAGCGCTTTGGCGGCAAAGCGAGCGTCTTTTAGGGACGGACATCGATTTCCGTGTTCAGTGGGATTAAGCGCTATCTGCCAGACGGAGTGTTGCATTAATATCAGATGTATTATTAGGTATGAGGTGCTGTTGAGGTTTTCTAGCACGATGACTGGAATTTTCCAGACCTGTTGGTCTGATTCAGGTTATTTTTACTCAGCATGGGTAAGGTGGAGTAGAAAGAGAGGGGGGGGGGGTGGGGGTGGGGGGTCCGTGACTCGATTAAAGCCCCCACGCTACATATTCATGAAGCTGCTTATAGAAGGCGAGTCGGATTTTAATAATTAGCTATTTACGGACAAAATAAACACAGATACGTTTACAGATGATGGCCAGACGGTGCTGAGGGTCCCCACACTGGGTTTGTCCTGATCTGGGTTTTTTGCGCATTATGTAAAGAAAGATAGCTGTGAGGTATTTGGATATTTAGAGATTTAATTTTGCATTTTAGTGTACAGCCTAGGCATAACCAGTAAAAACAAGGTGCGAGGTGTTAAAAAGCTGCATGTGTGTGGGAGGTGAGTGGCAGCGTGTCGGTCCTGCAGGGTGAAGACGTTCGGCAGGCCGAGGTCCATCGGGCCTGAGCTGCTGCTGGCATGTTGGCCCGCGATGGCTGCCGTCCTTCAGAAGAGCCGCTGACCCGCCGGAGGGCAAGACGCCTCTCTTGGCATTTACGTTATTACTTTCTGTTATTCTGGTAATTTAATCTAGTAATTATTTACCAGTTCCATAAGCTATAAACCTTTGAAATTAATTAGCGTAATAGTTCATTTATTTAATTATGCAAAATGCATACTTGTAGGATAATCTGTCCAAGAATTGGGGTAACAGCATGTATTATGTAGCTTTGTAATAACTGTAGCAATTACAATGATTATCATCATTATTATTATTATTATTAATAATAATAATAATAATAAGAAGAAGAAGAAGAAGAAGAATAAATATTATCATCAATAATAATTATTATAATAAATATAATTGTTAATAATAATAATAATAATAATAATAAGAAGAAGAAGAAGAAGAAGAAGAAGAATGGGCATCATCCTCATAATAAATATAATTGTTAATAATAATAATAATAATCATAATAATAATACTAATAATAAGAATGGTCATCATCCTCATAATATGAAGAGTCAGACATGCCCTTGCTGAGCCTTACGAAGCCTATTTCTAATGTACTGCTGGCTACTTACATTTTATGGAAAATTTCAACGTTGGTCGCAGTTTGTTTGTTTATCGCCCTTGAATGTCAGGCTGAAAAGTGATTCTTCTTTTCTGAGGAGAACTTCACTTTATAAATCACATAACACAGGCTGCTATTGTCAGCCAGCGATGCTCTGGCACGAAGTATGATGACTGAATGAATGAATGAATGTACAATGGCATTCCTAAGAGAGTTCTTTTATTCAGACTGCAACTTTGAATGTATAGGTGCAATTATACAAAAGCATGACTGTCCATGCATCCGATTTCAGAGTCTGCTTGGCCAGTGTGGCGTGATTGTGACCCCGAGCGCAGAGCAGCCGACCCGCCGGTCCAGCCTTTCTGTCAGCTCCTCACTGGCTCTTAATGGCACTATGCACTTTTAGTAAGTGCCTGCAATCATGCAGCCTCTATGTGCACGATTATTTTTCTGTGTTTTAAATGACTACCGGCCACGTCACACACTTTTTTTATTTATTCCTTTTTCCATCACTGCTTATACAGCACTAGGTTGTGGTGCATTGCTGGAGACACATACGCACACACACACACGTTTGTATTCGTATCTTTGTGGGGACTGCTCATTCATTTCTATCGGGGGAAAAACTCTAATCCCAACAATGACAACCTTAACCCCTACCCAGCTCTAATGTTCCTAATGTTTACCATAAGTAACCAAATAAAACACAGGATTTTTGACATTTTTAGTTTTTTGATTGCAGTCAGATTTTTCTAAAATTTAATTTCCCCCTATGGGGTTTGAGAACGGTCAAAATAACTGTTTTTTTATCACATTGTGGGGACATTTGGAGACCTGGGAGACGCCTGACAGACACAGATGTAAACGGTGAAAGCTGTCTGCTTGTGATCTGAACACCCAAGACGCTTTTAAAACAGCGTGTGAACAAGCCCACAATTATATAGTAAGGAAGTGAGTGTGTTATCATGTTAATGAAAGATGACTTCTTAAATTTCCGAAGAAAACTTGACTACTAGTTTTTATAAAATACCATAATGCAAAGTTGACCCAATAACAGCTTGTTGTAGGTCCCACTGGAAAACGTCATGTTCAGTCACATTCAAGGATTTGGTCGCTGGCTGGCTGATTTGCTTATCCTGCCATAGTAAGATCATCCTCAGTGTGAGTTCACTCTCAGACACACTTGTCCTGGGAAAGTCTGTCTGTCTGTGTGTCCCACCTTCAAAGTGTGCAGCAAAATGTTCTAGGCTGAAATTAGGTAGCTGACGAACATCGTCGCGCCTGTTTAATCAAACCCAGACGGGAGAGATGTTATGTTGTTGGAGACATGACATCCTTTTTCAGAACCCCTAGTCCCAGTCTTTTAAATGCTTAGGAACAGAAGAAGAGACTGGGTATTTTAGGGAAGAATGAGACTGTGGAAAAGAAGGATGATGGAAACAAATGAGTGCGAGAGGAATGTTGTGTCTTTAGCCTTGCAGAGGATTACTTGTGTTAGAGAGGAAGGAGTGCTTTGGGGGAAGAGAATTAGCACACTATTGTTCAGCTTTCCTGCCTCACTGAACATTACAGGATGGTGCGGACAAAAATAATACAGGCATTCTTTCGGTGAATTAAATATGTTAATAAAGGGATTTGTACATTAGTTCGTTTAAGGAGGGGATTTCTCACATCTTTCTTTGCTTGGTAACCGAACGCCGGTCTTTCAGCTCATTTTGTCACCCGGCTTCTCGGATGTGCATTTTGCGCGCATTTATTCTATAGCTATAATTTAATCTAGAGTGAATAATAATTATGAAGATACTAAAATTCTCAACTTCCACGCACAGTTTTTGACCAATTCAGCCATGTCTCTTAACACTTTGATATTTTGCTTTACTAAGCATCTTTTGGCTGTTTTACCAATAATTGCATTTTTTATGCTAGAATTTGAACAGAAGTAAGGATGGTGCAAACCAAATAAGTACAGTTAATCAGCAAATAATGCCGGCCACAAAAAAAACAAATTCTACTAAAATTCATGTCCTGGAACCATTTTTTCCCACCACTGGACGGTGGATCAAATTCCAGAACAATCCTGGAGAATCCTGGGGCAATAGCGACCCTATCTGTGACCTGCATGGATAGGAAAACCTCATTCTGTTATTTACGGGAACATTTGTGGATTCTCACTATGGTTAAAAAAATGAGGATCCTCATCCGGGAAAATTCTGAGTCCTCCTGAGCCACTGATTCCACAGCAGGCAGAGACAGGGCAAGTCCCCCCCCCCACAATGGACACTTGCAGGTATAAATTTAGCATCAGTGAAAGCTTGGTTTTCTTTACCTTCGTTGCTCCTGCTTTTTTGTATCTGGTTGAATTTACTGGTGCATTGATGTGCCGTGTCACCCTTCTACAGCTGAATGTGTGCAGTGGGGACAGTGAGCCCCCGGCAGCCTGCCGCCAGTGCTGTCCAGCACAGCGTGGGGTCTCCTCACTCCACTGCCGCCTCTGTGATGTCGGCTTAACGAGACTGTTAGGCTCCCCTCATGTCATGAGGTGCTAGGGATGTGCAGAAGGTCTTAGTGCCCTAATGGGCACAGACAGCCAGGCCGAGCCTGCAGTAAACCGTGTTTCAGTGGCTGTGTGCTGTTGTGCTTTTGCTGGGAACTGTGGATTCCACTGGTCCTGGATTCTGCAGAAGTGGTTGGCTCAGGGGGACTTGGTGACTGCGTGTAGCACTGTAGCTGCACATCTCCACCGTTTGGGGTTCGAATCCCACTCCTGCTGATTGAAGTTCATACATTTTGTCTGCTTTCCTCACACCGGCCAGACACTTGCTGTTATGCTAATTCGTGCCAGTGTGTGCATGTATGTGCCCTGTGATGGACTGGCATCCCGTCCAGGGTGATCCCACCCTGTGCCCTTTGCTGCCAGGGTCAGGCTCCAGGCCTCTCTAGTCACACTCACCAGGATAAGCAAGTAGACATTTGCTATTATTTGCTGTTGTTCAGTCTTTTCCATTTTTTTAAAACACATGCATGGTAAAAAAATGGCGACGTCACCTGATGTCACCAAGACTGCTGTACTGTGTAGCTCTGCCTCTGTCTCCGGCCTTCAGTAAGACCCCCCAGCCAGTGGGGTGGGGTTAATCGACATGATCCTTATCTGAGTTTATAATTATAATTTTATGTGCAGTGCTGATGTGGTCAACTTAACAGGATGAAAGTTCATTATAAATTAATAGATTCTTTAATTAAATAATGCTTATTTTGTCTTTCTAGGGATTTTAATGCATTTAAAGTGCCTTGTTGAGCTCTCAGTGTTAGTGTAAGTTTTTTTTTTGTTTTTTTGGAGGTTCACCAATGTATTAGTGCAGGGCTCTTCAACTCTGGACCTCGATTCCAAATCCAGGCCGTGTTTTCAGTTCCCCCAGGTAGTTGTTTAATAATTACTGATTCTGATTGGTCAGAGGCTTCACACCTGACTGACAGGTAAAGGCAGGCTGGAAAACCAGCAGTGCTCGGACCTCGAGGACCGTGAGTTGAATAACCCTGTATTAGTGACTTCTATCAAATGACCTGCTTCAGCTGGGTTAGGGCTCATTTTGCTGAATCTCTCGCATGAAGGTTGAACACATTACCTTGGCACTGATGGCTGCGATCCCGGCTTCTCTCCACAGATGGTAAGCGCCTGGACGTGACGCTTCTCCTCGTGCTGATCATGATGACGAGCGTGTTTGGTGCACGGGCCTGCACGGCCCCCAATAACTGCTCCATCATCTCCAAGGACTACTGCTACTCGGCCCGAATCCGCAGCACCGTACTGCAGGGCCTGCCCTTCGGGGGGGTGCCCACTGTCCTCGCCCTGGACTTCATGTGCTTTCTGGTAAGCTGGCGGCCTCCTGGGCTGGGGGTCGTGTGGGGGGGGGATGCCGAGTCACCAGAGGAACCAGAGTACTGTTGCGGGATTTTTTTTTTTTTTAGTTTTTGTTCTCTGCTGGTCCTTTTTTTTTTTTTTTTTTTTAAATTTTTGAAGCAGGTGACATTAATAGACAGCTGGCATCAGATTTTCATGGCTGCAGTTGACTGCTAATGCTCACAGAGTCACAGACCATAAAGCAGTGTTGTGTAAATGATGACGGTGGTAACTTTACTGAGGTCTTTCAGGGTAAACAGGCAAAGCTTCATGCACAGCTATAAAATGATAGCTCCAAAAATGTCATCAAGTGTATTAAACCATCATAGGCTTAGTTGGTAATGTTTTTGTTGAGCAGCCACTTAACCCGTTAATGATTAAGCGGGCATGCAGACATACTTTTGTTGCAGTGTCTCTTTTTGCCTGGTGGTTAGATTCCCCAAGGCTCCAAAAGCTCTCAACATTACATTACAACAATACTAATAGTTAAAAAAAAATAAAAATCACTCAAGCAGTAAAACAGGATAAATGACAAACTTGGTGTCTGTTTTTGTAGGCAGGGTTAGATTTCACAGGAGAGGCTAATATGGAGCCGGTAAATCTGGATTAGCCAACTCGTTTCATTAACTCAGATATTGTTCTGCTTCCAGCTTGACTTGATGTGTTTCAGTTGTTGAGTAAGCGTTCAGAATCATGTACTGCCGTCAACTGGAACGACAATGAAATAAAATTTTGTAACATGAGCAAACTATAAAACAAACTAATGGACAAATTAATAAATACAATGTAAGAGTCTTTCTTTTTGTGAATCCTGCCCATGAGATTTCAGCCATTTCAGTAACCGCACGACACGCCTTGTCCCTAGGAATACCTTTAGGTGCTGCAGCACAAAAACATCAGGATTCAAAATTTGTATTCATCATGTTGAAGGTAGCAGCCAATCAGAGGGATGGGATTCTCATTTTACAACAGAAGTGTTGTTTTTAATGTAATCCCGCTGTGTTAATCCGGTGTTTGGGATAGTGCGTGATCTCGCCGTTCACCTTGCTGCCCTTCAGGTCCTTCTCTTTGTGTTCTCCATTCTGCGGAAAGTGGCCTGGGATTATGGACGCTTGGCGCTAGTGACAGACTCAGACAGGTAAGAGTACCGACGCTCGCACTTCACCATCTGAGTTTTCCTGTGGAGCTTCTGGCTTTAAAAGTCCTTGTGGTGACTCTTCAGTGTAGATTCACAAATGGGAGTTCACAGATGGGTGTGTTGATGGGTGGATGTGTGAATAATTCATATACTTCTCCAGCAGGAAACCTTCACTGGAACTAATGTATATTTTTCATTCTTGTTTTTCAGACCTAATGTCCTAAATGTCTGTGTATAAACTGTTAGAAGTTGATTCGCCGAGCCTCTATTTCTATGTTTTCTAGACTTTAATATGTGCTAACGTTAACCTCTACAGTTTCCAGGTCCCTGCATTCCAAGGTCTTCTAGACTTGAATGTATAGAACATGGGGCGAGTCTCTCTCCGCATCATAAATCTCGGTCTCCTTCGTGGCGCAGTGACAGTCACGGCTATCCTGTCATTACTGTATGAATCCATCCGTGTGAAACAGCTTTGCTGGAAGGTGAAGGATCCGTTCAGACTCCATGTAGACTCCGCGTCAGGGTGGGCAGTGAGCAGACCGCTGAACCCCCCCCCCCCCCCCACCTTCACACTGCTTTTAGCCTGCAGGGTTTGCGAATTCAGCTTCGGCTTCATCGCCCATCTCGGGAAATCCTTTGAGGAAGTGCAGGACAGAGGGTCCTGGTTCCCGAGTGCTGATAGAGACAAACCGATGGCCTTTTCCTTATCTCGTACTGACAGTCCATGATAAATGCAAGATTTTTATTATTAGCTGATATAGGATCTCTATGACAGTACTTGGGTTATTTGGCAGTATTGAGTGTTCCTCTGGTAAACTGGCTAATATAGCAAGAAATGAAGCACATGCTTCGTATTATGGCATGGTGGTGCCCCCTTGCTTCCCTGAGGCTTCAGAGTTGCCTTAAGGCCGCCAAACTGTTAGAGCCAATCAGAGCTTTGCTTGAGCCAATCAGAGCTTTGCTTGAGCCAATCAGAGCTTTGGTTGACCATGTGACTTCCAGGATTTCTTGGGCCTTCAGGTCTGCAGCCAGCGTTTGCTGTACAGGATCTAATGCTGCCATGCAGCTGTAGAATTTAAATAAAGTTCAGAAATAATATTTGCCACTTCACTGATATATTTTTCCTAATATTAATATTATATTATTCTGAAAAATGTTCTACAGAACACATAATTCTAGTGTCCAGTTATCATACAACAGCTGGCATGCTTTGATATGGATATACCACTTTAATGTGGTCTCTTGATTAACAGAAGTAGCTTAAATCAGTTTTGCATATTCTACTTAAGTATGATATGATTTGCAGAAGCAAATCATCCCCCTTAGAATAAATATCATTTGTAAAAATGTAGCATTGTTCTTCTTAACAGTAGACTGCATGGTCTGTAGGTTGTGTAGCAGCCTTGTCAGGTAAATATGTCTCTCATCCTTCACCTCCACAAATGAGATGTTCTGCTGCTGAAATTCTGATATTAACATATTGGACCCTAAGAGGGTATATCTGTATGTCTGAGTCCCCCCCCCCCCAGCACATGCCCCTCCGTAATCTCTGTTATCTGCTTCCCATCTGCCCCCCCTACCAGCCACCCATTCCAGGAGTTGATTGCTCTTCCTTCCTTGAGTCATTGTGTAAGCAGGGGGGTGGGAAGTATGTGTGGAGGGGTGTGCTTCAGACTGCCCTTTCACGCCCCCCCCATGCCCTCGGAGGCCACTCTCAGCTGTCACTACCCGCTCCACACTGAAGAGCACAGAGCCCCCTCTCTTCTACAGTAGGTGGCGATGTCACAGATGGTCACCCTGTCATCAGACGATGGCTCCTTTGTGTTCCTGCACTGTTGTTCGCTCTCTGTCTCCCTCTCTCTCTCTCTCTCTCTCTCTCCATCTCCCTCTCTCTTTCTCTCCATCTCCCTCCCTCGTGCTCTCTTTCTTTTTCTCTGGCAGGATACGGAACGTGAATCACCATGGACACCTTGTCCAGCCGTTAAAATTCTTCTAACACAGAAATGGCTTATTGTCCTCACTATAAATTCTTACACAGCGTAATATCTTGTGCTCCTTTTGGCTTCTCTTGGGGTCATTTGTTTTTGCAAGGTGCTTATTAATGGACCACTAATAATGAGGAACAGTGATGTCACCTGACCATGCTTACTGAACACAATCATATTTGCACGTCATAGGTTGTTTACCTTTTTGAAAATAACTCGTTACAGATTTGTTTAGTGACCACAAGCTGACTCATTATTGTATGCTGCTAATTTTTTTCTCGTTTTTCTTCTGAAGACTGAAGAAACTCTTCAGCGGCTTGGACGAGAGGGAATAGTATGTTCTGACTTTTGAATTTGTGTGTCTCCTGCTATGCCGGTTTCACTGCCCACTCTCGCTCATTTTCCCTCTGGTGAATTAACGGCCCTTTTGTGTGGACTTGGGGTTTGACTGTGTGGTGGGGGCTCTCACTGATTTCCTTCAACCTCTGAGCACTTTGCCTGCAGTTCCTGCGACAGCGGTTGAATCCCATTAGGGATTTAAAGTGCATTTCTGCTTTGGTGTTCCCTAAGATGCTTTCACAGTCTGTTCTCTTTGCTGCGCATGCACCTTCTTACCTGTCTGATTTAACCAAAAATGAACAGAACAAGTACAAAGGATTATGAAGCAGTAAACAGGTAATTGGCCGCTGATCTTGGTGCCCTTCTGTGATGCTCAGGGAGGCGCGTAGCACAGAGCTCTGCCCGGATCCCTGTGAGATTGCCAGCCGGAGCCACTTGATTGGGCCTCGCTTTGCACCCCTGCAGAGTCCTGAGGGGTGGATGCTTCTGCTCAAGCAGATATCTAACTATCCAAAAATGAGTCATGCCTGCGAATGACATGGCTCTGATCCTGGGGGGGTTCTGGGTGATCCAGACTGGTGGTATAGCTCTCCCTTTTGGGGGGGGGGGCGGTGGGATGACATGGCCAGTGTGTCACTGGAAACTTTTATTGCAGGTTTGTTGCTTCCGGTACATATGTAACTGTTACAAAATCAAAGTAGTTTTGTGGGGGGAGGCTTAGTTTGTCTGTGGATGGCGTTATGGCCACTGGGGGGCATATTTATCATTGTGGTGATACTAATAGGTACAAACAAAATCAATCGTCCTTATTTACTGATGTGACACATAACAAGCAGAGCGACTGTATTCAGCAAAAGGTTGTCCTGATTCGCTGTGAGTGATCGTGTTTTTAAATAGTTCTGAGACAGCAGACGTACAATATAGTGTTACGGCTGGTGTTTTAGTGATGCCCAAACAGGCTGTCCCTCCCTGGCTAAAGTTAAGTGGGTGTGGGTGTGGAGACAGACATCCGGGGTCACACTGCAGCCCTGCAATGGATGTCTTACTTTCATACTTAAAAAAAATGTTTTTTATGCATTAGTATGTGATTCTGGATAGGTTAGTGCAACTACTAGTTAACTGATAAAATGACAATAAAAGGATGATTAAATGGCTACTGTAAGAATTTGTATCTACTGACTGATTTTTTAAATGCTCTGTATTAATTTTTGTTTTCAGTTCAGATAAAAGTTAATTACAAGTGATTGCAAGCTTATCTACAAGCTTAATATCCTGATTCCTTAATGTCTATTCTCAGATAGTGAACTGACAACCTGATTGATCTTTAAAGCAAAGTTTTTTTTTTTTACCAGATTGAGCTGAGAAACCATGTCTTTTAAACCATCGGACCTGGTGCTAATTACGTTCTGGTCCTGGTACAATCCAGAGACTCCTCCACAATAAGGCTCTCCACAGGGCCCGGGACCCGTTTGTGTCACTTGATAATTCCTTAGAAGTTCCTGCGATTCCTGCAGTGGTCTGTGTGACCCTGGGACTGTCAAAGCTGTACGGATGACAGGTGGATGGTCATGTGCTGAGTAATTAAGGTTTGAAATTGCCAGCTCCATTAAGATGCATACTATAGAGCAGCAGATTAACAGGAGACTATTGAAGAGGCAATGGCTTTTTAAAAATTATTTTATTTTAAACTGCAGCTCTACTTTAGGGGTCTCTGCTTGGTCCACTGACCTGCTTGCAGATGAATATCTGTGCTGCAGTGGACTGGGTGTCATGCTCACAAGGTGCGTTAGGCTTCAAAATGCACAGGTTAATTTGCATATATGTTAAACACCTATCTAAATCAGCCACCAGGGTGCCTACAGATCATCAGTCTATAAATTTGCATCCTTGGCCAAAACCGCAGCAAAAGGACAAAATTAAAATCTGCTCCCAAAGTGAAGATTAACCTGACAGATTGTTCCAGAAAGGCTACCCCAGGGTTGCAGTGCTGTTACAGCTGTACTGGGTTCTACGTGACACGCTGCCCATGTCTCCAGTTGTGATGTAAATAGCAGAGTCGTTCCTTCCGTGCTGATGATGATAAACACGTCTCCGCTGAGCTGCTTAATGACGACTACTGCTGTCCTCTTCTGGCACCTCTGCTCCTTGGGGACATCCGAGCTGGGTGACTCTTAGCCACAGTAATTGCTCTGCTCTCAGTAGACTCCAGTACTCGTGTAGCTCCCAGAGTCCTTGGCTTGCACATTACCCAGTTTTATTGCTCATACATGTGTGAAAGTAAACCAGGTCTTCATAGAGAGCACGGGTCGGCTTCAGCACCCAAAACAACTGTTTAAAACAATTGTGTGTTGAACAGTGGAATTAATTGCACATTAGTCTTAGTGCAATGTACTGTTTTAATAAGCAGGCAGAAGCAGGCTTTGAGAGCAGGCCAGGATAATTGCTTCACACCTGAACGAACTTGTAATGTTATTTTTGTTTTTCTCCTAGTGTGGCATCGGCCCTACATTCGGAAACGCCCGATCGATATGAACGCCTCACCTCTGTTTCCAGCTCTGTTGACTTTGAGCAAAGAGACAACGTAAGCCAGTGAACACAAAAACGGATCTCTTGTCCATGTGGGTCGTAATGGCCCCCCTCCCCCCCCCCTCCAAATCTCACCTGTCAGTCAGAGCTCTCATCCCCAGCTGCTCTGCCAGTGGGACGGGCACCACCTATACACTTATACACAGGGACACAACAGAGGGAAGCTCTCCAGTCAGTGCCTGATCACTTTTGTTTGCAAAGTACTTCCATTCCTTTTTTCTTCCCATCTCATGTGGATTGTTTGGAGAGATTTATTTGTATGCAGATCTAGACAGTGGTGTATGGATAGGTATAGATATTATGCCGAGAGATCTCCTGTGTATTGCTGTTCAGCAGGGGTAAAGGTGAGCGTAGCACACTATGGGTATTACTTATTACAATGGAGTGTGTAGAATTAAGGAAGCATGTGCAGTTCGTTAAGGACCAAGGAAGGCCATCATTTAGTGTCGCTCATTTATACCTTTCCTGGAGAAACCTGCACTAATTCAAACTGAAATTGCTTCTTCTCTTTTCTCGAATTCAGGGCTTCTGCTCTTGGCTGACGGCTATCTTTAGGATAAAGTAAGTATAAAGTCGTAACGTGATTTTGCCGTATGGTCGGGGGGGGGGGGTCACTGCAGAGCCTGGGATGGCACCTTAACCAGCTCCCTGTAGCTTAATTAGATCAGTGTTTCTCAAACGGGTCCTTGGCGACCCCCCCCCCCAGGGGTCCACGCTCTTGCTCCCGTTTTCAGATACTTTAGACCAGGGGTGTCAAACTCCAGTCCTGGGGGGGCGGAGCCATGCATATTTTTGGGTTTCCCCACATTTAACACACCTGATTGAACTCCTTGTGCTTATTACCACAAAGCTCATAAGCTAAATCATTTATGGTGGAACAGGGGAAGAACTAAGCTACACAGGGCTGCGGCCCCCCAGGGCTGCAGTTTGACACCCCAGCTTTAGACCATCTGAGGGAGCGAAACCGTGGCCCCTCTGTGGTTCGCCGAGGGCTGGGATGAGATGATTGGATAGGAGCATGTGAGTCAGTGTCCACGGCGCCTCCTAGTGGGCAGTATGGATACATGCGAGCTGGACATACTGTAGCTAGGGGAGCCTTGGGGGGGGGGGCATTCTCCCATGAGCCACTGATCCTTCTCCTCCTTAGAGACGAGGAGATCAGAGAGAAATGCGGCGAGGACGCGGTCCACTACCTCTCCTTCCAGAGGCATATCATCGGGCTGCTGGTGGTCGTGGGGGTGCTGTCCGTGGGGATCGTCCTTCCCGTCAACTTCTCCGGAGATCTGCTGGGTAAGAGCGGCCGGGGTATGCAGGGGCAGCACTGAGCTGCCCTCCGCCCGCTACCCCTGGGGCCCTTCGGCACCGATGATGGATGGCTGAACATGCTTTCTGGGCTAAGAACAGCCACACCTGACTCTGCTGGGATTTCGCTCAGCCTTTGATTACAGTTTACTTTTCGTAAATACCTTTTTCATTTCTGGGCACTGTTGGCTCGGAGTGGAGGAATATTTACGTTTACACCGTGTGCCTGTGCTGCATTAATTCCTGCAAGACGTCATTGCTTATATAACGACCCCTAGCGTCCCTCGACTCGGAAATATTCAGCCCCCTCCTGATTTCCTCCAGAACCCAGCTTGTGCTGTCTTCGGCAGTCCCCTCCAGGTTTTTTGAGTGCTTGCGTCAATCTCCTGTTGGCTTATGTAAAGTTCTCCGGTCCGTACTGGGATCTCACGCCCTCACAGGGCAGGGTAATGGGCTCTCTTTCCTGCCGAGAGGCACCTCGGAGTCGAGCACAGCAGACGGATGACGTCTGGCTCCCTGGGGGCTCTTGGCATTTTGTCTTCTCTTTTGGTTTTGTCAAATAGCACAGGTAGACTTTCTTAGCCCTGTTATGCAGGATGTAGTGCATGGCTGTTGCAAGGAGCTGCTTTTCTAGGACTAGAAGGGGCTCTGTTATTTAGATGCAGAGTGATATAACTTTGATGCGGGGGTCAGTTTGAAATGCTCACTACTGAAAATGGACCATCCAGTCAATAGAACTCCTTATGGACCTTATGATAAAATATAGATGTAATTTATAGAACTGAAAAAAATGCTCCAATATTGAGTGTCTTGACAAAACTGTTGAATCATCTCAACTAAGAACTTTTTTTTTTCCTTACATCAGAGAATAATGCCTATAGCTTTGGACGAACTACTATAGCAAACCTAAATTCTGGGTGAGTACGTTGAAAGGTGCATAAAATTAAGGAGTCAAGTGATTGAAATGAAAGTGATATGTACATATGCATATATTTATTTAATCTGTGTGCTTCTGTATGCTGTGTGACTTGGCTTGTGTCTCTTTGGGGGATCAGATGAGGTGACGTTGTGTTTATGCTTAACAGGAATAACCTCCTCTGGCTGCACACCTCATTTGCGTTCATGTACCTCCTGTTGACGGTGTACAGCATGAGAAGACACACCTCCAAGATGCACTACAAAGAGGATGATCTGGTAGGGGCACCTCATGTAGGGAGGGTCAGTGCGTGGGAGGAGGGGCAAGGCCTCCTCGTGTTGGGTAGGCTGGGGGTGTCAGGCTGAGCTCAGCCTGTAGGGTCACCTGGTGTAGGGTAGGCTGGGGCCAACTCGTGTGGGGGAGGGTCAGCTAATGTAAGCTATGGCCACCTCCTGCAGGGTCAGCTCCCCAGGCCAGTGTGTTTCTCCTCATTTGAATTCTAGTTGTAGGTGTATTGTTCTGTGTTTTAGGGGTAGATTGTTCCTGTGTGTAAGTTCCACAAAAGCCTTTTGAGTGCGCCGCTAAATATGAGCCAGATGCTAGTTAATCAATTAATAAGCTGCTGAAGACAGATCAGGGCCGCTGTAGCCTGCTTGTGTTGGCAGCCGCCTCGTTTTTGAGATTAAATTTCCGTGGAGAATCACTTGACTCTCCTCCTGCAGGTGAAACGCACCTTGTTCATAAACGGGATATCGAAGTACGCCGAGGAGAGCCACATAAAACAGCACTTTGAGTAAGTATGCTTGTGTTATTTTCACCCGCTTACATGACGGGGAAGTACGGGACGCTGGGAATGCAGTGGCTAATGATGCTCTCACACTTAGAAATCTGGGGGTTTTTCAGAATGAGTCCATGGGGGTTTTTGTATCTGCAGGGATGTCTAGTATAATGAAAGGCTCTGCTGTGTGGTGCTGCTGTTTCTATGGTATTCTGGAGGGCCCATGTGCATTACTAACAGTACTGACAGTACTAACAGTACTGAATTAATACTGCAACAGTCAGAATCACATCAGAGACAAGCCTAAAAAAACAACACCCAAATTCGGTGATCCAAAGCAATCCGGCAGAGTTTAATGCAGGACCCAAGTGCCAGCAGAATACATTTCCTGGATACTGTTAAATAACCTTTTAGTGATGCCTTAAACTTTACATAATTGGTAAAATATGTTTAATTCGTGGAAACAGTAACTAAAATTTGCCATGCCAGCACCAAGTGAAGTTTTTTTATTGGAGATATTTGGCATGCTGATAATTCAGTAATGAGGAAGTGTCATTTAGGTAAAGCAAAGGAAATTTGATTGGGATCTCAACCTTATGTTTGTGTGTCTGTAACTGGAAACTGTGTGCAGCTGTTTTTCCAAAAGTTTCCATGCTAACACTCTGTTGCTGTGACACAGACAGGCCTATGAGAACTGCACTGTGCTTGAGGCTCGCATCTGCTACAATGTGGCAAAGCTCATGTCCCTAAACACGGAGAGGTAAGATACTCTTTCGCTCATCATCCTTCTTCTGCAGAGTCAGAGAAACGTGTATCTCATGGGCGTTTCCAGTTAGGACAGCACCCCCTAATGGTCTCTTATGACCTAATTATTTGGCCAGTGAAAAACTAGGAAATAGTGCAAAATTGTTCAGGAACATTTTGTTGTAAAAACTCATGGTTTTTGTTTTTCTAACTGGGTTTCAGCAAATTTTTTCATTTTAATTGTCTGCAGTTTGTCAAACATAATAACGAGTTTGTGAGTTTTATCTTCACATCGGTAATAATTTACCTTACTGGCTGATTACTGTTCTACTGTGAGTTTTTTTTTCAACTATAGGGATTATAACAGGTATGTAAAAAGGAAAAAAAATACTGGATCAGTTTTAATGCATTCTGTGTATGCATCATGAAAATGAAAGCGGACTGGAAAATGTGTTAATTAGGTGTCTGTTGTTGACCAAAAGATGAAATATAAAATGTATAGGACAAAACATACAATCTGCTATGCCTTTATTGGGTAGATGCACAAGGCTAGTATAAATATGTAATTAAACAGAGCCAGGCTTAACCGAAGGCAAGATTATGGCAATATGCTATGAGACGAGGTCCCTGCAGGCTGCTTGTGTGTAAACCAGAAACAGCTGCCTGTCAGAGAAGATACAAGTAAGGGGCTGGAGCAGGACAGAGCCGAGGGGGGAGGAGAGGCACGGCTGACAAGAATGGGAGCTAATCATCAAAATGGGGGGCAGTGGACTAGAAATACGACAGAGTGACCTTTAGGGTGACAGAGGAAGGAGTCCTGTGAGGCACGCAATTAAGAGGAGTCTTTAAGGCCGGATTCACGCTACAATACTCCTGAAATCATCAGATCGCTGTACCGCTCACACTGCATGACGCCTGAAGTCGTCAGATCGCTGTACCGCTCACACTGCACGACGCCTGAAGTCGTCAGATCGCTGTACCGCTCACACTGCACGACTCCTGAAGTCGTCAGACCGCTGTACCGCTCACACTGCACGACTCCTGAAGTCGTCAGACCGCTGTATTGCTCACACTGCACGACACCTGAAGTCGTCAGATCGCTGTACCGCTCACACTGCACGACTCCTGAAGTCGTCAGACCGCTGTACCGCTCACACTGCACGACTCTTGAAGTCGTCAGACTGCTGTATTGCTCACACTGCACGACGCCTGAAGTCATCAGATCGCTGTACCGCTCACACTGCACGACTCCTGAAGTCGTCAGACCGCTGTATTGCTCACACTGCACGACTCCTGAAGTCGTCAGATCGCGGTACTGCTCGCACTGCACGACTCCTGAAGTCGTCAGATCGTTGTACCGCTCACACTGCACGACTCCTGAAGTTGTCAGATCGCTATACTGCTCACACTGCTCGAGTCCCATGCGGGTTTCTGCGACTCATCATTGACTGCATCAGGTCGCGTCTTTGAACAGATTACACTTGGCGATCTAGCACCGATTTGCCAGCACTGATCGAACACCGATTTACCTCCGAGCTGGGGGTTTTGTCTGCGATCTCCAAAAACTGTTGGCAAGTGGAAAATCAGGGCTAAAATCGTGTAATGTGATCTTGGCTTTAGTGAGGAGGTTCTGATCCCTGAAAAGGACCACTTGGGGCTTAAATTTGTTTGCAGCTGGACGATTTCCTGGCATTGTTGTAAATTGTCCCTAAAAGTAAGACGTCATATTGATGCATTAATATTACTGGCTCCTGTAGTTCAACAAGTGGAGTATTGCACTAAAGTCATGGATTCAAATTCCAAGGGAGCACATGCAAATGGTAACACTTCTTTCTACTGCAAGTCACTCTGGATAAAAGCATCAGCTAACTGTAGTTACTGTGAGTGTTGTTCTGACAAAGCATTTAGCTAGCTATGTAAAGATACACCACCATGCACAGTACAACCGCAGCATGTTATAGTGTTTATTTGAGGATACATCTCCAGTGAAGTGATTGAGGCTAGAAGATATCTGTCATGCTTCCAAGCAGAGCTTTGGGACTGTGTTGCCATGGGTTACTCATGATGCAATATTGTATGCGCTAACAGCTAGTTTCTAATTTTACCACCTGCATCTGCTTAAGCTCTGGCCTCTGTATGTTGTTTGTTTTAGGGGCCTGAATCATGCAGAGGTGCTATTAAATATGTAGGACGTTCTCACCAACCACATTACGCACTGACTCTTTTCTTGTAGTCTGGGAGTAGTAATTATCTTTTGTGCTAAAACGATTGTAACTTGAAACTGTTGGGATATAGTAGCTACATAGGTTAGGAATGTATTCATTCATGTAATTGAATATAAGAGTGTCCTGTGGTGGACTGGTATCCTATCCAGGGTGTTGGCCTGCCTATTGGCCTGCACTACCTGGGATAGGCTCCAGACTAACAGTGACTCATCCTGGATAAGCAGTTATGGAACATGGATGGATGGATGGATAACTGGCACCTCAGTAAGTGTCAAGAAAAAGGGAGCATATCATCAGCCGCTTGTACCGGGGCTTTGAGTCTTCTGGTGACAGTGAGTGTGATTGTCAGCATCTCCCCAATGCTGTCTGCAGCAGCACGGAAGCTCTGCATGGGGAGATGGCAAGAGGCTTGTCAGAATTCGGAAGTTCATTTGGTGTTCAGATCCTGAACTTAACGATGATGTGTCCATATATTAAGGACACAGTAGGCTAGCACTGACATCTCGTAGCTAATCTTCTGCCATTAAAGTTAAATCCCAGTGTTTGCAACATCTCCTTAAAGGAGCGGCTCTTCAGACCTAAATGGAATTTTTTATTTTTAAAATATTTTGTCATTTTTGGCATGACTGGCTGTCTGGTTGTTGAAGATGACGTTGGTGCACAGTGTGATGTTTTAAACTTGTGGGGGGGGGGGGGGTTACGTCACCTGCAGAAAGAAGGCAGAGCGAAGCAAGAAGTTCTTCACTGACCTGATGGCCAAGGAGCACGTCCCCACCATGATCAACCCTAAGCCGTGTGGACACCTCTGCTGCTGCATCATCAAGGGATGCGAAGAGGTCTGTGTCCTCTAGGGGGCGCTCAGCGATGAATGGCGGGAGGGGGTGTGACCAAACAGCGCCGTTTCTGCCGTATGCTGACACAGAGGTAGACAGGAATGCCAGGAGACCATCTGCGTAAGGATGGAAAGCAGACCTTCAAAATCGCAGCGTCTCTGCTTGAGACTTCTAATTTCTGAGAGGATTAGGAATATAGTGGCAGGGGAAAAAATATGTCTATCCTACCTGTCCTGGCTGGTTCGGAGTGTGAGTGTGAGTGTGAGTGTGAGTGTGAGTGTGAGTGTGAGTGTGTGTGTGTGTGTGTGTGTGTGTGTGT